AATTGTAACTTCGAGACTAAATTAGGTTTATTCTTGCGGGTTATTTTTTATTTGTAATAAATTGTCAAGTAACTTTTAAAGACAATTTTTTGATCCTTTTGAAACTTCATATTTAATTTGTAAACCCCATTTTGACCATGTGGTAGCACAGGTTTGAAATTTTTCTGATAAAATTTGCAATACCTATTTACTATAGGCCTGCTTTCATGTAAGTGTATTATTAATAGGGTGTTCAGGAAATTTTTTCTATGTATTTAAAATTCTTTAAATGGATAATAATCAGAAAGAAGACATTTAAACTAACAATAAACTTTTTATTTGACAAAAATCAATGCAGTAGTTTTGATTTTATGACATTTTGAAATCCGGTAACTAGGCTGTTTCTAGAGAAGTAATTGGCATTACATTGTTAATATATATATGGCACCGTTTTCAAAGAAAAATACCCTTTTTTACTTCAATCAAGGTATTTAGAAGTAAAATAAGTGATTTGAATGTTATATAAGTGAACATTTTCTGAAAGGTTTTCAAATGACCAATCTTTTTACGCATAAATTAATCTGAAAAAAAAAACAAGATGGCCGCCAAGATGGCCGCCTTTATCAGATTTTACAGCATATGTAGAATATACTGGAAACAATTATGGAAAACTTGAATAAAAACAATCCAGAGCCTATGGATATATAGTACTTCTTAAAATATATAGGATATTTTTAACAGATAAAGCAAAATAATTACAAAATGGCTTCCAAGATGGCCGCCAAATTCAGCATTTGCTATAAAAAGGTTCATTTGCATTAAATAATAACGAACAATCATGGAAATTTTTTTAACACAAACAGAATTAAACAACACACAGCCTTGTCTTTTTGAAAATAATCATAATCATAATATCATTTACAGCAGAATAATAAAAAATGGCCGCAAAGATGGCCGACAAAGTACAAAGTCGGTATCTGAAATCATGACTTTTTCATGATTTTTTCAAGAATTTTCATGTTTTAAACAAAGTTTGATCTGCTACTATAAACAATAAGTTTAATCTCACTTGTGTATTGCAAAATGTGTTTATTATTTGCTATCAATTTCAGGTGAGTTATTACTGTTATTTCAGTATATTATGTCCTCACAAAATCATTAAATCACCGTTTTTCAGGTCGGATAATAGTGGGAAGAACCATGTTTCTTCAGGTTCATCATCATATTTAATGTTATATTCTGTTTTTAATGTATTTTCTGTGACCTTTTTAATTCCAATCACATCTCCCAAGAACCACATTTCATTTCCATTCTCTAAGCACTTGTGGGACACTCTTTTTCCAACAAGATCTTCTGGTTTTTGAAGGTAATGAGGAAGTTTAGTTTTTTGTTGATCAACTTTCCTTTTGTCTCTTGCTTTCAGCATTGTTTTTACGAGTTCAGATTTTTTTTCATTTACCTTTTGCCTTGATATGTCAATATCTTTGTATAATAATCCTTCTTGTTCATTTTCGTCATATTCCAATGCTTCATTTAAGTCAAGAATTTTCCCTAGATTACGAGCGAGCTCGTCATTCGTGTATTTTCTTTTATTAGCAGATTCCTGGAAAAGTTCTTTGTCACCTTTTGATTTTAAAACACTTTTGTGGAATTTAATTTGAGTTAAAAGGGCATTCCTTATTTGTTTGTTGTCCATTGATGCCATTTTCTCATGTATTTCATTTTTTGTCCAGGGTCCACCATATTGGGCAATGTCTCTACTGAGATTTATTTTTTTTGTGCTGTCCTTTATTTCTTTATCAGCTACCTTTTTTTGCTTCATTTCCAACTTTTGTTTGAGTTCCTCTCTTAGCTGTATTTTTCTTTTTTCAAAAGAAGCTTTTATTTTTGAAGCCATTTTTCTGGCACTGTCTAAAATATCTTGTCTTTCACTGTCTGGGAGTGTTGCCAACCACTGAAACGGCTTATTTTTAGAGCACATAACAAATGCTTCAAGGGAAAGGCTAGATGATGCTGGCTTTATTCTTAACAGATTATCAAGAGTAGCCATATCCCTTTCAGACAGTGTATTTGTTTTTGGAACATTGGCTGCCATATGTTTCATTTCCTCAGATGGGTTCCAATACTTACCCTCTGGTAGTTGGGATGCAGCCTGCCTTTCAAGCAATATAAGCAGCTGCGAAGACAAGAGTTCAAGAGCCATAATTGTAAGAGCATCTAGATGAGGGTCATCGGTTACTTGAAATAGGGAATGGTAAATATCATCTTTTTCAATATACTTAACATCAAAGATGCATTCCTCTGCTAATGGTATCTTCCCATCCTGTGACCACTGGTTAAGGCTTATTTGCATTTGATGTAAGGCAGTATTCAAATCTAGTATGCAATCATCTTCTTCAAGAATACGCCAGAATGGACCAGTACAAAGCTTATCAAAAATGCCCATAGCTCGACAGCCACTTAGGTACACCATTTCATTAATATCAAAGGCAATGCACTTTAAAAGACCATTTTTTTCAGGCCAACATTCCAGGAACTCCTTAATTTCATTACGGTGATGATATACTGCTGCCCCGTCATGAAAAGCAACATTTATACGGTGCCCATGGAAAGTTACCATTCTGTTTTTTATTCCTTTTCCAGCCAAATAAGTCTCAAAGTATGAGTGGACACCAGCCTTGTCTGACCCACGTTTTGTAAAAGCTTTTGCTGCTGTTCTAAGGAGTCGGAAAGATCCGCTTTCAGCACCATATGCATGTGGGTTTTTTCCTTCTACAACACTTTTTTCAAAAATACCTAATGCTTTATCCGACTCTATACCAAAATTACCCAACAAATGTAGCCTACAAGAAAACTGTCCCATTTCATTCATTTTTTCTTTTTCTTTATCACTCATACTGTGATACTCTTTAACAATTGCTGGCAATAGAGTTTTTCTAATTTTTTCTACTCCATCATTGAATACACCATTGGTAGCACACTGATCACTCATAAAGTTTTTTATGGAACATATCAGTTTAGCTTTGTTTTCATCGAATTCCCCACCAAGACATTCTGACAGATCATTAATCATATCTTCAAAGGCATTAATGTATGTTTTCCCATCCCCACCTGCTGTTTGCCTTAATCCTATAGTAAGTGATTTACCTGATTTCAATGTTACTTGCGCCCCTTCATAGTGGGAATGAAACTTTGTTGTAGCATCTTGATGAAGAACATTGCCTTGACCAGATGCCATGTCCAGGTTGGTTAACATTTCGGTTCCCACATGCTTTGATGCAACAACTTTTGCTTCTGCCATCATCCAGCTTAAAAGTGATTTGGATGGAAGACGCTCTGGAATTTTTCCAGTGAAAGATTTCAGAACACTTCTTATTACATCTGGTAGTTTGCCCATGCTGACATTGCATTCTGTAATCAGTGTCATACAACATTCCCTTACTTCATTTGTGTAAGTGCCATTATAAAATGTATCAATATGCTCTGATTCCAGTAGCTCCATTACATGTCTTAATTGATCAATTTCTTTTTCTTTGGCTGAGAGGTTTTGTTTTATTTCATGTGTAATATGTTCATGTAACTCTTGCTGAATTTTATCTTTTTCCTTCAATTCTTTAACCTGTATTTTTAATTTTGAAATTTGTTTCTGAAGTCTTAACTTATCCTTTTGGTTGTCATCTTTTTTGCTCTCAGAAATTTCTAATTTATCTTTTAAAATTTCATTTTCCTTTTCAGCACTTTTGACTTGATCTTTCAGGACAGCAATACTTTCATCTTTCCTTTTCAATCTTTTGTTAACATTTCTGGTGTTAAATTTACTAAGCTTTTTCTGGGCTTCCTGTAATTTCATTGATAACTCATTTACTTCCTCAGATTTCTTTTCATAATTTTCTTTACTCTTTTTTATTTCTAAACATAAATTTGCCTCTTTTTTTCCTTCTAATAAATTTGAATATTCAAAACTGGCTATCTTTAAAACACTGATAGCTTCATTCAATTTGCTCGCCATTCTGGCAACATCTTTCTCCAGAGCATTGTTCTCATTAACTACTTCTTCAATATTTCTCTTCAAGGCTCTGTTTTCTAAAACTACAGATTTGGTTTGATCACTTAATTTTCTGGCAGCTATGCTTATTTCTGGATCTTCTATTTTTGATAATTCATTTTTTGGTGGCTTAAATGCACTTGTCAAAAATGGTTCAATATCTTTACTCTTATTCTTTCGCATTTGCTTTACTTTCTTCAAGTTGAACCCTATTGTTCTTCTAAGACTTTCAAAATTACAGTCTTTATAACTTAATTTATCAGCTAGATATTTGACACATTCACTGTCACTTCCCAACTCATTTCTCTTTTTTATTAAATCTTTAACAGTTATTATGTCATCTGGTGGTGAAAGCACTTTCGTCATCATTTCGTTATCGACAGGTAAAATTATCACGTTATTGCTTGCTCCTTTCGACATATCTAAGGGATCATCAGACGATGAATAGGAACATGAAGGTACTGCCTCCATGTTGAGACCTGCAAAATAACCAGAACATTTACAAATACTGTTGAACATTTCACATTTTACAGATAAAAGGAATACAGCAATTTATATATGCAGCTTTTTAAATGAGAAATATAGTTTGCAAACAACCACAATGAAGTATGTTATGATTTTCTGTAATCACCATCAAGTTTAAGACTATCAAATGACAGTTTTGATATTAGGAAACTGAAAATATATCTTAACTTTTTATCATTATGTTATTTATAAATATATGTATAGTGATGTCGATATAACTTGCTGGTGATTTTTTGCTGAACACTGAAACAGCTTAAGGTTTACAAAATTACATTTGGCCGAGGCGATACTAGAGTGCAGAGACTCAGATACCAGATAAAAACCTGGTGGTCTTCTAGCGCAATGTGCATGCATACATTGCTTTACGCAGTCGGCTCAAAAGTTTACCATCAAGCTGCTTAAATGTCAACTAAAAATTTTTTTATCATGTGTAAAAGGTTATGTGGTGTAGTGCACAAAATTTACTAAAAATCTAATATAAATTCATATTCTACAATATTATTTCATTAATACTTTTGAAATTTAATATAAATAAATATTAACTTGAGCAGTATTTATTGACAGTTAAGATTATTAATACTTCTGAAAGTCATCGGTTAGTAAATTACAATGATTACCATGATTGAAAGACAATTGATGAATTTTCAGGCATAACCTAAGCATTAAACAGAAACACACATAAAATTCACAGTGCTCCATGAAAAATGCCGCAGAACAAGCCTGAACACAACTTATTGCCTTTTATGGTAATACAATCACAGTATACTTGTTAACTTAAGTTTATAATAAAGTAATAAAACAATGATACATACCGCTGCATTATATTCCCATCCGACATCTTGAGAAAAATGAACGAAAAATTTCGATAACAAGAAAGAAACGCACGAAATGAAAACGAAACTAAAGTAACAGCACTGGTACACGCATTATTTTGAGATGTTTTGGGCATAGCATTAAATAGTCAGATTGAAAGACCTGATACAATTCATACAGGGAAAGGGTATGGGGTGTGGTAGAAGATTCAAAAATAGTGATATTTGAATACCAAATGTGCTGTACTTTTTCATACATGTCAATAAATAACATAAGAAATACATAATAAATAAGCATATTGTCAGAGATTAGACACCCTTTTCTTTATTTGCTCTAAAAATGTAAAAAAAATATATAACCAGGAGGATTTATAATATTAATATTATTTGCTACACAGTAATATAACAATTGAAAACAATTTAAATACCTTCGGACATGCCAGTTTAAATGCATTATCATTTATTGTCCGGTTTAAGTACATGTCCGAAAACATGCAAGTTGCTATTTTACAAAAGTCACATTTTCACACTCGTATAAATTTTTGCGGTACATCATGCAAGGAGAACATTTAACAATCAATTTGATTTTAACAATTCTTACATTTCTTTCAATTTTAAGACTAGTATTATGAAAATACCACAGAGTAATTTTTCTATAACGAAATTCGGATCAACTTCCGGCGCCATTTTTTTCATGGCTGAATTTCGGGATAGGGGTCGTCTGATAATAACGCTTGGCCGCAATTACAATGAACATAACATAAAAGAACAATGGTGCTGTTTAATTGTTAATATATTCACCTTTGAAATTATGTCCCTCCACACATATAAATTAATAAGTTTTCCGTTTATAAATTCACATTTTTTGTTATGATTTGCTGTAACGCAGCATCCGCTGAACCGATCTACCTCGGATAAAAACTACGTCATAGCATTTTTTATTACGAAGAATTTGATTGGTCAATGAAAGTAATACGTCAGGGAGTTTCCTGCGGAATTCAATTTAACCGCGCATGGTATCCCAAAATATTACTAAAGATAGCGCGCCACGTCACAGCGCTATGTAAACGTTATCGATTTCTCTCGGGTTAAATCACGTGACTGAACACCCTATTATTAATATGTAATTAGGCAAAGCCTATGAACGGGGAAGTCGGTAAAAAATCCTTTCATTTTTCTGTTTTAAAGGTGTCATTCGGTATTATATGTACCCACTTTCGTTTTCACTCGGAACACTCGACGATTATTATTAATCCGAAAAGTTGAGATTTGTTCCGTAATCGGAATACACCGCCTTTTATCATTGAGTTACATTGTAAATGGCGGCGTCTAACTAGAACTGACACTGAAAATTTCATTGATAGGTATAGAATTCTATATATTTTTTTTTTTTTTTTTTAATTTAAATTTTCTTTTAAATATACACGTGTAGTCTATAGCCGGACTTTCCCGTATTAATAAATAGTCTACAATTTTTTGGTAATTTAAAACCCCTTTTTAGCTCGACTATTCGAAGAATATGAGAGCTATTGTAGTCGCCCCGGCGTCGGCGTCCGCGTCGGCGTCTGCGTTGGTTAAAGTTTTTTGTAAAGTCAAATATCTCAATTATTGCTTGAGATATTCAATTGAAACTTACAATACTTATTTATAGTAACTAGGTTCATCAGATTGACAAGTTGGATAACTCTACCTACAATATTGACAGAATTATGCCCCTTTTTAACTTAGAAATTTTGGTTAAAGTTTTTTGTTAAGTCAATTATCTCAATTATTGCTTGAGATATTCAATTGAAACTTACAATACTTATTTATAGTAACAAGGTACATCAGATTGACAAGTTGGATAACTCTGCCTACAATATTGACAGAATTATGCCCCTTTTTGACTTAGAATTTATGTTAAAGTTTTTGTAATACCTCAAATATTTTCAAAGTCCATTGACATATGGCTTTGAAACTTTGCACACATGTTCACTATCATGACCCCAACCTGTAGACAGGAGGAGGTAACTGTATCCAGCATTTTGACAGAATTATGCCCCTTTTTCGACTTAGAATTTACGTTTAAGTTTTTGTAATACCTCAAATATTTTCAAAGTCCATTGACATATGGCTTTGAAACATTGCACACTTGTTTACCATTATAAACCCAACCTGTAGACAGGAGGAAGTAACTGTATCAAGCATTTTGACAGAATTATACCCCTTTTTCAAAAATTTACTTTTAGGTTTGCATTCCACTTCAGATATTTTCATATTCTATTGAAACAAGTTGAAATTTTATACTTTGAGAGCATAATAGAACTCTGTCCAAGGCCTATAACTGTAACATGGATTTAAAGAAAAATTTTGTCCTTTTGTTATTAACTCTGAACATTTTACATTATCAAGGCTCTTTTACAATCAAGCACTAAGAATAGTCGAGCGTTGCTGTCCTACTGACAGCTCTTGTTAAAAAAAGGTTTAGGTTTCTAACTAGTTGTATTTTTTGTTTTGTTTATGTGAATTATTTGACATTACAGTGCTCCTTTATTTTGAGCACTGTAACCCCCACTGCACGTGTTATCATCATTGTTACCACGTGCCATCATTCTTCTTCTTTAGGACGCATATAACAATTAGCACTGATTAGGTTTACATACTATTTTAGGTGTTTACATTAAAATTATTTTTGGTATTTCAATTAAATCATTAGGTATTTTGACTCAAAATTAATATTTTCAGATTGCACTTAGTACACTTTTTTATTGTTGTTGTAGCACTTTGCTTTATCGAGTGTCAACCCCCTATGCGATGTGCTTATAATATTTATTGTAAAATGAGCCGTGTCATGACGCATCCGCACAGTCTGATCAGGATCCATGCTGTTCGCTTACAAACCCTATTACAAGTAGAGAAACTGATATCGAACAGCATGGCTCCTGATCAGACTGCGCGGATGCGCAGGCTGGTCTGGATCCATGCTGGTCGCAAACGCACTATGTTGGTTTTGTCATGACACGGCTCAAATATTGTAAGCCTTTGTTTTATAAAGGGTCAACTCCCTACGCCACACTAACAAAGTTCTATGCTCCTGCGTTTATGAATAAATTATGCAAATGAGCCACGTTGAGCCGCCATGTTGGAGTTTCGGTAAGCGTGTTGGAAATTGCTACCTGTTCGTTTTGAAAGCTCGTCCTAACTTACAGTTTCCTTGAATGTAGGAAAACTTGGTTTTGTTTGATTGCATACTGAATGATAGGTATTACAAAATAAATATAATGAAAATCGATCAATCAATAATTGTATACAAGCGTTATAAAGTCAATTTAATTCGTCAGAATAATAAGATTCTGTTGCAGGGTATCGGTAAAAGACTGCTTTTTTTCCCGTTTTTGAAATTTATTTGAACACGGAGACAATTTTTCTCAAACAGGTTTATGAATATACTTTACGTTGCAACAGAGTTTACCGTGTGTCCATTCCTTATTTAAATTGTCTAAGAAGTTAAATCTGTTTGTTTACATGTAAATGTGTACCGTCATTTTGACCGACTGGAATAAAAACTATTATGACGGTGATAATACCGGATATGTAATGAAAATTACGCCGTGTAGTGCAAATTTTTCGACATTGCAATTAAAATTAACGCTTACGTTGATTCAAACTGTTCCTTGTCAGCAAAATTGAAACCGAAAGTAGTGGTTGTTCTAGAATTTAATCGAATAAAATGGGTGGGATTTAACCACCGCGCATGCCCTGTGCGAACGTATTGTTTACATCCGGTCGTAGCATAGGGTAAGAGTGCAAACTTTGTTAGTGCGCCATGTGCATATAATATTTATCAAATAATATTGTAAGCTTTTGTTGATTTATTGCTTGCATTGTTGTAAACAATTTCATTTTATTTGTAGTTTAAGGTTATATTTATATAACTTTTACAACAATTTACTAAAAATTTACTAGTACCTGGGTTTTTGTTACCATATATATTATAATATATAAACATTTATAATCTTAGTTTCAATTGACAATGACTAGTTTCCAAAGATTGCTCATCACGATGGACAAGCTGTCAGGGCAATTGGCTCTTTTGCTAGCTAGAAGTGAGTCTAGCCAGACACCTTTGGCATACACGCCACCAAGTCAGGCTAAGCAAAGCCAAGTAAGACCCACACCTGGTTTTAATAACATTGCAGTATATGGGTTGAGGCTTTGAACTATTACCAATGCAAATTGTAACAAGCCATCCTTGATACAAGAATTGAACTCATCTTTATTTACAGTCAGGTAAATCCCAGGTTGTCGTTCAAATATTTTCAAAGTCCATTGACATATGGCTTTGAAACTTTGCACACTTGTTCAACATCATGACCCCAACCTGTAGACAGGAGGAGGTAACTCTATCAAGCATTTTGACAGAATTATGCCCCTTTTTCGACTTAGAATTTACGTTAAAGTTTTTGTAATAGTTCAAATATTTTCAAAGTCCATTGACATATGGCTTTGAAACTTTGCACACTTGTTCACCATCATGACCCCAACCTGTAGACAGGAGGAGGTAACTCTATCAAGTATTTTGATAGAATTATGCCCCTTTTTCGACTTAGAATTTACGTTAAAGTTTTTGTAATAGTTCAAATATTTTCAAAGTCCATTGACATATGGCTTTGAAACTTTGCACACTTGTTCACCATCATGACCCCAACCTGTAGACAGGAGGAGGTAACTCTATCAAGCATTTTGACAGAATTATGCCCCTTTTTCGACTTAGAATTTCCGTTAAAGTTTTTGTAATAGTTCAAATATTTTCAAAGTCCATTAGACATATGGCTTTGAAACTTTGCACACTTGTTCAACATCATGACCCCAACCTGTAGACAGCAGGAGGTAACTCTATTAAGCATTTTGACAGAATTATGCCCCTTTTTTCGACTTAGAATTTACGTTAAAGTTTTTGTAATAGTTCAAATATTTTCAAAGTCCATTGACATATGGCTTTGAAACTTTGCACACTTGTTCAACATCATGACCCCAACCTGTAAACAGGAGGAGGTAACTCTATCAAGCATTTTGACAGAATTATGCCCCTTTTTCGACTTAGAATTTACGTTAAAGTTTTTGTAATAGTTCAAATATTTTCAAAGTCCATTGACATATGGCTTTGAAACTTTGCACACTTGTTCACCATCATGACCCCAACCTGTAAACAGGAGGAGGTAACTGTATCAGGCATTTTTTTTACTATCAAGCACTAAGAATAGTCGAGCATGCTGTCCTACCGACAGCTCTTGTTAATTTGGTTATAATATAAAATTATGGTTAAATTCATTTTAATCCAAATATTTTCCATACCATTCTGAATTAGTTCTGGCTTCCATAACTTTATAGAATAGTCCCCTATGGTACAAGTTCTGGCTTCCAAAACTTTATAAGCCTCTATTACAGTGTTCAATCTAGAACAAATTTCCAGGGGGCCCTTCGGGCCCATAAACTTTTCAAAAGAGGGTCATTTGAGAAAAAAGGGGCCAACATTTAAAATGAACATCAAATTCACATGAGGTATTGTATCTTTTTAAGTTACTTGTTCACGTATCATATATAAACCAAAAAAAACGGTTGTAAAATTCAATAACAATCAACTCCACTAAAAAAATTACATTATTTGGACCTTTTTCCATAGTTCTGTTAGCGTTGATGCATTCTGAATTAGGATGGTCCCCTATGGAACAAGTTCTGGCTTCTTAAATTTTATAAGCCTCTATTAAACATTTTTATACCCCCACAAACGAAGTTAAGGAGGGGGGAATATAGGAGTCAGCTTGTCGGTCTGTCAGTCTGTTGGTAGGTAGGTCCACATCATGGTTTCCGAACGATAACTAGAGTTTGGAATGAGGTATTGTAATCAAACTTGGTATATACATGTAGCAACCTTATGTGGAAACTCCGGTTGGTATTGCATTTTGACCCCCTGTGGTCAAGGTCAAGGTCACCATTACTAAGAATAGAAAAATGGTATCCGGACAGTAACTTGGATAGCCTTCGATCTGAAGGTAACACTGTTCTAAAAATAGATTTTACCTTATCACCACTACATCACCTGTACTGACTTTCGGACAAGGGATTAGGGAGTACACATTATACATGATGTTAATCAGCGTACATTTACTTTGTTTACATGCAATATTTTATAAGATATTTAATACAATTGTAGAAAGCAAACAACTTGGAAACGGAATTTAGTGTGAAAGAAAAGGGACACTACACACTGTACTTTTTTAAGTTAAATTTAAACATAATGTCACAATCTGCTCTGACCTCTATATATACATCTTTACACCTTGTCAATAAAATTGTAACAGTAATTGGCGATGATTTTAACAACAAATATTTTGTGTGAGACATGAAATAAAAAACAAATGTATTTTATTGTCTATACCAGTGATTTTTCTCACTTAATTGGGAAGAGGCCTTAGCCTATTGATTTTGGGAAAAATTATCGCTAAAATTGCTGATTTGGGAAGTAAAAGAGCTGGATTAAGTTCAGATTTTTGGGAAAACTGCATGATTTTAAAGAAAATTTCAATTGGGAAGAGGCCTTTTTTTCGGAGTCTGTTATATAAGTAGAAAAATCACTGTATACGTAAACAGTGTACGTTAAATCACGGATCTCAATTGTTAATTCAGTTTAAATATACATGCAAGCATGCATGTACGTATACAATTACATTATTTCTGATAAAATAAATACTAGAATTGGCATTTTTTATTAGGTAAAATAGGAAAAAATGCAGAGTTTTGCTTATTCTAAAATAATTAAAGAATTAAGATATTAATCATTAATCTATTACTCGTAGCACGTTTGTGCATAAATTCATGACATCTCCAATCTACGTATTTATATAAACACAATTGTGTACGGTATATCTGGGACAGATAGATACTCTTTCATTTTTAGTCCCAATTTCTTAAAATCATACCATATATCACCATTTCTAATTTTGATAAACAGTGAAACAAGAACAAATTGACAAGCGCTGGCATTTTTCTCAAATTGACATGCCCCGAAAGTTATTTCTTTTTCACCATATCATCTTTATTTTCCTGATGGTTTTAAACCATCTCAATCATGCTTTACGCAAGTTTAACTCCAGGAACATCATTTCCATTGAGAGAAATGTGAATAAAAGTATTCGTAACCATTATGTTGTATAATCTACATGTAGATTAACCAGTTTCCTTGTCCAAAACTTATCGCTATGTGGCTATTTTTAGAACAGGTCTCTTATCAGTGACGTATACGATGCTTATCTCAGATCGTTCCCTAGGAATCAAACTTTGTGTATAGCAGCTTATATGAAGACCTTGGCTTGTATTGCATTTGGGCCCCCTGGGGTCAAGGTCACCATTACTAAAAATAGAAAATGGTTTCCGAAAATAACTAGAGTTAGGAATGAGATATTGTAATCAAACTTGGTGTATAGTAAACTTATATGAAGAACCCCGGCTGGTATTGTTTTTGGACCCCCTGGGGTCAAGATCAAGGTCTCTGTTACTAAAAAAAGAAAAATAGTTTCTGGACAATAACTGGAGTTAGGAATGAGATATTGTAATCAAACTTTGTGTATAGCAAGCTTATTTGGAGTCCCCAGTTGCGATTACAAACAATATTTCTTTGTACACAGTTGATAGTTTGTGTTCAAATTTTTCTTCAGACTACTTTTTTTCCAAAAAGTCAAAGTTGCTGGTGGGGGTATTAATCACCTTTAGTGATAGGTCTACGGTAGTTGTTTTTCATCAGATGCGGCATGAAAGTTTTGGATAAGACCCCGTTACAAAACCTAACCAGAATAACATAAGTTGATTTATTCTTATTTTTCACTTGCAAATACACTTGACCCAATCAATTCTTGTTCATTTTACGATAAAACAATTATTTTAATATCGTTCTATACCAATTAAAGTATCAAAATATTAATACCGTCATTGAAATTGCCTATTTAATTGTAAAACATCAATTTACGCCGACTATAGTCGTCCATGACATTTAGGTGCCACGCGAGACCTTGCATGCGGTCATTTGCGGGAACCGATTTGAATAGAGTCATGTACTATATTTAGAAATTTTTTGTTGACATGATTTTGATGTTTTTATTCAAGATAATGTTTTTATTTATTTTCATTAATTTTTTAGTACTTAAATTATGATTTTATTGAATATAAAAGTCAGTAAATCACCTTTTTCAATATCTTTAAAAAAAGTAATTTAAAAAAATATTGGAAGGACATGGGTTCGTAAAGGTCAATCTCGTAATCATGTGGTGAAACATTTTGGCAATATGGTGGCCAAGTGCCGGAATTTTTACCTGTCGGAAACTATTGGGTAGTTTATGTTAGTAATAAAATTTGTATTTGACCGTCCTTGGCTTATCGACAGATAATATATAGTTTTATCAAGGTATGCTTCACTTTACTTCATGGCATTTCGAAGGAATACGAGCGTGTCCAGTGATTTTTTACCCCTGAATTGTGAATGGTTCCTGTACCATAAAAATTGTGTAAAAAAAGCATTGTTTCTCAACAAATTGTGAATTTTTTACTTAAGATTGTGAAAATCTTATTAAGAAGTAAAAACATAATTTTTATTAACTGTTCTTAATGTCTAAAGCTTTACTGTTACGAGCCATTTTAAATGATGTTTACAGAAATTGCCAGACGCTTGTTTTGGCGGTATGCCTAAAATACGAAAGTGAGTTATAAAATAGTAATTTTAACATTTTAATAGACTCTTTAAACAAACTTGCAGTTTGCAGACGTATATTATTAGAAATAGGGGTGTGGATCGTCGGATAAGTGTCGATCCGATCCGAACCACGATTCAGCACTTACGATTCACAAATCGAACCACAAATCTTTTGTTATCAAGACACCCATAGAAACATGCACATTTAAGTTACAAAAACATGTTTATTTAAAAAAAAAAATACTAAACATTAAACATATAAAATATAAACTAGGTTTATGTTTTTATTCTTTGGATGAGTATTTTTTTAAACCAATTACTTCCTAGCTAAGCATCATGGTACATAGTCTTTAACCGGCAAGTTGTATTTAGGTAAACTTTATATAATTTACACTCAAATCGTAATTTTCTTGATTTTATGAGTGTGAGAAACAGTGAATGTATATAATAAAAAAATTAGATCGCGGGCTTACGAATATTCAAACTCGATTTTTTACTTTGATTTGTGATTGTCCGAGTACTCGGATACTCGCATCAGCCCTAATTAGAAAATAATTACAGTTATTAACAGAAATAATCATAAAGATAAAATTTAATCGCTACAAATTTGCATAATTTCTATACACAAGTTCTTATATCTTCCTATCGCTCACATTGAAAAATAGCGTTTAAATTGCATTTACAGTACGCTCAGCGCAACTTTTTCAAAACCCGCGTGACCCCGCGGATGAGGTTTACCGCGGACGAAAATTTGCACCACCCCGGACAAAAATCGGCGGCTGAAACTTTTTCCCCCGTGGAACGCAGCGGTAAATTGCGGAGGAACGCGGCAGTCAAACACCGGTCAACGCGGTGGAAACCTTAAATTTTAAAAATTAATTACTATATTTAAACATCAGTATACGTACGTACTGTAACATGTACTGTACATATAACTATATGTAAAATTTGTTTGTTTTCTTTTTTGTTGTAATAAAAGTACATGTACAAATGCAGTGTATTTCTTGTTCTTCTTCTTGTTATTGTGTTGGGTAATGTATAAAATGTATTCGACATCAAGATAAATCATTGTTGTCGCAACTTCATGGTAGTGAGAAACTTGAAGTCAAATAATGAAAAATTCGGCATATGACATTTATGAAAAAATTACTACAACAATTTATATGCCAGCTTTTGTTTCTTATTTAAAAACTTTGAAAACGTAACCCTCAACAATTTATTCAGGCAATATTCCAGGACGTCTCTTTCAATTGTCAGATGCGTTTTACTGTTTCTGTTTATTTGCATGTTGATCATAAAGTCTTATATTTTATTTGGAACATTAAAAGAAAGCGTTTATTTCACCAAAATATACATTAAATGATATTCTTGATTTATCTAATTACAGGTGTGAGCGTAATGTATATGTTTCGAAGTTTGTATCAACTGTTGAAGTTTATTTTCATTTTTGTTCTAGTAGTTTGTTTGTTTGTCTTTTTTATTTTTTATAGATTTTTTTTTTTGCAGAATTTTGTTAAACTTGACGTTATACTTTTTGTTATTTTATTATGAACAGCATGTACATACATGTATATAAGGCAACCAAGCACATGTCAGTTATTTTCTAAGAACTTCCATCGACCGATTTTCAAGTTAAAATATTTCATTTTATTTTTATCTTAAGATATTATTGTTCAACTGACCAACTGACCTTGGCGTTCCCCCGCGGAAAACGGGTGACTGATTTTATCGACGAATGAAGAACGGATGTCAGAATTTTGTCCGCGGTGGAAACAACTGAACACCGGGGATCACGGGGGAAATTAGGCTTTCATCGCGGACGAACCCCCGCGTTTGTCCGCGATAAAAAAAAATCGTCCGCGGTGGTATTGCAGAAAAAGCAAAACCCGCGGTGAGCGTACTGTAAGTATGTCAATAGATGCCTAAACAAACTTAATACTGTGTTAACTCCTACGATGATTATCTAATAATTTCACAGGTTGATAGATCTACGGGAGTTACCTCCCTTCTGTATTTCCTGCTACTTTCGTTTTTAACATGCGTTGTTGACAACAGAATTTTTAGTTTTTTTTAATGCAATAAAATGGAAATATATTGTATTTTTATGCTCAAAACATTTTCTTTCTACATATCAAATGTGCACTTCTCTTCTTTTACGCATAAATTTTGATATACGAGCATACTTTCATTTTGTTGTGCGTAACTGTGACGCACAAATTTTGAAAGTGATGCGTATTTTAGATTTTCTATGCGTATTTTACGCTTATACGCACACTATCTGGAGCTCTGATATATTATTTATTATTTAAGAAATAATATATCCCAAACAGTGATTTTATCGCTCAATAACATCACTGTTTGGAGTTCGGATGCGAGGAATTATATCACGTGGGTGTAGTCTGAGTGATATAATGATGCACATTCGAACGACAAATAGTGATGTTATCAAGCGATAAAATCACTGATTAAAATTTTGGATATATTATTTCGATTCTAACACGACATCAACAAATAAATGTTGCCGTACTTGATAGTTAAGCAAATTTGTGCCTGATTTGTTTCCGTACTTATTTTCAGCGTGTCAGATTTTTAGTGGTTACGTCACGTGTATAATGATTACGTCACATGTCTAAATATAGAACGTCAAACTGTGCATCTGTTGCATAATAACACACACTTTCTGTTCTTCTATGTTCAATAGGGTAAATGCGGGTCATGTTAGAATATATTATAACCCATAATGCATGTTATTTATTATATATATTTATCAAATTGAAAAAAAGGTGGTTAGAAAATTGAGGTTGAAACTTTCAGGGCCGAAACGTCCAGGAGGTGTAAAGTCCTGAAACATATAGATTATACCTTGTCTTGAAAATATGTTGGGCTGCCGGTCTGCAATGTATGTTTTCCTTTATTTAAAAAGGTCATGTATTAATTTTGTTCGCCTGTATGTAAATGATTTGATAATTTGACTGCTGATTTGCTAAAGTTACTACCATTCGTTTTATTTTGTTCATGCCAGAAGCGGTGTCGAAGTAAATATTATCTATCTAAGAGATTCCTGGTATAAAGCAAAGTATTTTTTCAGAAATGTGCATAAAGACGACCCTGTTAAATCATTTTTAATGCATGTATGAGCTCTTGATGGCTTATAATTTCAATAATCATTTGTTTCGGCTGCCCGACAAAAAATAATATTGTGCCAGGTTGAGTGCATTCGCGGATTGATATCATTACAGCTCTAACCTGGGACATAAGATAAGTTAGTTAACATAAACCTGTTTAAATTACATGAATGGCTAGCTATCATTTAATCAAATCACTAAACGATCTAGCTAAGTTGTTAAAAATTTATATGATAAGGATATTTTATTAACATTTAGAAACGTTTTCTATTTTGCGTGCGTTTTAGCGTGCGTATATCGTTTAGCGTATTTCGTTTTGCGTGCGTCTGCATATTTCGTTTCACAAAGCGTGCGTGTAACGTGCGTTCGTATAGCATGTAACATGCGTGCGTTTTTCACGAACGCAGGGTTAGAATTTAGCGATATTTTCTACTTGCAGATTTTTGCAAGTGATCAAATGCTTAACTGGCAATATGAGGTAGTCAACTGGCATTTCCATGATCACGAATCTTATCATTACTATAATACACAATGACAATGTATTTTGGACATCTGATATGACAAATGATAATAAGCTTGAATCATGTCAGAAGCATCTTTATCACAAGTAAACACAGATCTATTTCTTCTTGTAATGAAACAAAAACATTTCAACACATTAATTTATAAATGATAAACTGTTTAGGGATCAGATTAGATATACCAGAGGAACACCCACTGATGACAATGTACAGTTATAAACTTGTTCATGTAATGTTATTTCTTAGGACCTTTATTAATTTTAGCGTATTTTGTGCTTGACTGAAACCTAGAGGTACTGATCTACTTAAACAAATATTTCAGCTTAAAAGTAATCACTTTACAGAGTAGTGCTACGCATTTACATTGGATAAAACAACATGGAGTTCTAACAAATAGTGTTTGGTTGTTATAAATAGTCCATCAAAACATAGTCACAGAAAAAAAATAGAGCAACTAAAAACTGATAGCAACTAAAAATAGATTTTTAAGTTTCTAAGGTAAACGTCATCATTTACTGCATCTGGCACATTAAACATCATCAGTTTCTTCAGCGGGCAGTAAAAATGCCAAGCATCATCATCAGCTCAGAAGATAACAATTTTGTATAATGTATATGTCCAAAATGAACAGTCACTTGCAAATAAATGCCAGCTAGAGTAATTTTTACTGGCATTATTAGATTTTAACTGGCATTTTGCCAGTATGCCAGCTTAAATTCGAACCCTGGAACGTGCGTTTTGCGTGTAAACTGGAACATTCACCCTACTGTATCACATACACAAAATAAAGACCGTTTAAAGAGAAATAAGAGTAGTTTTTCATTTACGCGCCTATAGACGTATAACGCTAACATTTAACGCATCTTTACACAATGTTTGTATAACGCAAATGATGTCACTTCAAATTATATGCACGGATGTGTAATACCATATTTACTGAGTGGCAAAATCGGCACCGGTGTGTGATAAAGCATATTAATACATATTAAGCGCATGTCAATAAATTTCAATTTTAAGTGATATGAAAAATATTTTCTGTTGTGCTGTCTTTGTAAATCCAATAACTTAACATCACAACCAGTTTCCTTATTTTCCTCATTTTTTTCCTCTCGATTACAGTTTCAGACTTAAAATAAAATTGCATTCTTAATATTTATATATACTCATATATTGTAATGCCCTAGAAATTTTACCTTTTTTAGTGAATTTCACCGGATTTCAGTATTGTTTATTTCTACTTTCACTTTCGTTTTGAGAAGCTTTTACTGGCGACAACACAGTAAATATTGCGGTGTCCCAATGAAACATACAGGACATCAACTTAAATCTACGTATTGTGCCAGCAATTTAATCATTCTTGATTCTGGAAGCTTTTCCTTTAAATGTTATCCGTGGTAGAATCCTGTGTTTTTAATCTGTTTTCGTTTAGCGTATATCGTTTTGCGTGCGTCTGCGTATTTCGTTTCGTTTTGCGTGCGTATAACGTGCGTTCGTATAGCGTGTATCGTGCGTTCGTATAGCGTGTAACGTGCGTTTTGCGTGTAAACTGACACGTTCACCCTACTGTAAATATAAACAAGCAATAAAACAACTTGTCTTAAGCTGCGGATTTTATTGTAAAACTAAAAACAGCAAACTTCACATTGAATATCTGTAAATTTATGGATTGAAAAATCTTTAAATTTCGAGACTGTCTATAAATTTACGGACAGTCCATAAATATTATGAAATCCTAGACCTGATAAGATCTAGTTCATGTGTAGTTTCTAAAGTGATAGCCGACCATCGTAAAAACTGATAGCCGACCATCGTAATTAAATATATTGCTAATTTTATTGTTTTGGCCTTTGAATTAATTGATTTAGTAAAGTTACTGATTTTATGAATAAATACACAGTACAAGTGAAAGATGATCAGATCCATTATAATTTTTAATAATGTGAATAAAATCAAAATAGAATCAAAGTCAAACTGTGAAACAAAACATAGAATTAGAATCTGTTAGTAATTTTGATAACATGTATGATTTTAATATATAATTTTTACAGTGCTTAAATCATGAAGGAAGCTAAAAAAACAACAAAACCTGTCTTTCATGTAAGCAGATTTGTTGACCATTGTGACAGGGACCTGTACAGAACAGTCACAAAGGTAAGTTGTCAGGTTACTTCATGAAACAATATACTCAAGGCTCTACAAATCCTATAGTCTGACTTCCGGGACAACTCTAAAACCACTTGGGACAACTGACAATAAGCAGAAAGTTAGTCCCGGACAAGTCAAATTTTGACAGATGCTAATCTTGGACAACAGTAAAATTATGTTTATTAATATGACCCTTCACAGCATGGTGCGCCGGTAATCTTCACCTGAGGCAATCAATCTCAGCAGTTGCTACGCTGATTAATTTTACATTGCCACAGGCAATAAAAATAGATAAGACACTAAATATTTGATAAAAATCTTAAAGACAAAGTCCAACATTATAAAGGACATGTCCAAAACACTATTAAGTCACAGACTTAGTCTTTGAAGTTGATATATTGACATAAGCAGACAGTAATTTGTGCCGTGAATTGAAAATTTGGAATTTTTTGTTTTAGGCTTTTTGATGAATTCCTAAGTGGAAAACAATATTAAAATATCCAAAAAGGATCTATTTAAATATGAACGCATTCGAACATACAATAGTCAAAATAGTATAATTTATGAGGAAAACAGAAAATTTTTCATTTGTCACATATTTTCGCGATGCCGATTTTTTTAATATAAATTGTGAGCCAGTTTTAATCAGTTTAAAGCTCTGCAGCAAGTAGAAATATTAAAAATCTTTTGTTACTTATGAATCAAATTTAAGGACTTTTGACAATGTTAAGATAAATAATGATGAGATTTGTAAGTATTTGAATAGTCAAAACTCTAATTCACTATCATATTTTATATTTCCCTACTGGGTAATAATGACTGTCTTTTTATCCCCCGCCGAAAATTTTCGGCGGAGGATATAGAAATAGTCTCCGTCTGTCCGACCTTCCGTCCGTCCGTCCTTCCTTCCAACATTTTTGTCCGGAGCATATCTCTAAAAGTATTTGAGTAATCAACTTGAAACTTCATAGGTGGATAGACCTCATTGAGGAGGAGTGCAGTGCACAAGAATGATAACTCTACCTTGCATGATTTTTGAGTTATTGCCCTTTGTTATTTTTCAAAATTGATTTTTGTCCAGAGCATAACTCCAAAAGCCTATGAGATATTAACATGAAACTTCATAGGTGCATAGATCTCACTCAGGAGGTATGCACTGCACAAGAATGATAACTCTACCTTTCATAATTTTTGAGTTATTGCCCTTTGTTATTTTTCATACCTAATTTTTCAACTGAGTTGAGCATAACTCAAAAAGTGTTTGAGATATCAACATTAGGGCTGGGTATTGATCAGAAATTTCCGATACGATACGCATTGCGATACAGACCAACGATACACAATACGTATTGACGATACAGTACAATGATGCTTCATTGTTAGGATGTACTTATTAAAAGTACTATTTACATTTCATAGATGCCCTGGTGAAATATTATTGAATCTTTCTTATATCTGTTTTAGATTTTGACTTTGTTAATAATGATATATAATACAGAGCAGGTGCATAGGTACCTTAATTAGTACATTTGAGGTAATATTTTGAAAATGACATGATGGTCCCTTTTTTAGATAAAACAATTATTTTGAAAAAAAAATTAAAAAGCTTTGTAGAGAAATAATTCAATGCAAAAATATAATTATGTAAATACTAGGAAAAGTTAACGCAGAAAATAATTAAAACATCACTATTTATTATGACAGGAGTCTAGTACTGTCTACAAGTCAACTGTTCTAAATTATAAGATCTTTATAATAAAATCAAAATTTTTGTAGAATTTGAAATATATACGCTGAGAAAGTATTGGAACATTGAAAATTTTCTAACAAATCATGTTTTTTCTATCTTAAACGGTAAAATTACAATATAAATATCATGTCATGATGTTGTGGTGTCGTAATCCGTAACGTACTGGGAAACGGTGTTTAACTACATCTTCGCGCAGTCACATTTATTTAGTTAGCAAACTACATCTTGGAAAATCAATAAATTTGTTGGATTTATGTGTTCACAATATTTGTTTAAAAAATTACAAGTAAATGTTTGGTCTAATACAAACTACTGCCGACCTGAAAGTAGTTTTTACCAGTGTTAGAAATAGGAGATTGAATGGCCGGATAAATTTTGACACGGATTTATCCGTCATTTTGTGTTTTGACATATTCGTTGAACTAATCAATGCAGCCTTTCAAATATTGATGAGGGCCTTCTTAACATTTACTTTAGAGAAAATTCCACACTTTTGACTTTTGTGCGGACATTTTAAAGACGATAGTTTTAATGTAAAGCCATCATGTTTATAAGTGTTATTAGGTTGTCTCCCTTTGTATCGGTATAGCTAAAACCCGATAACCGTACCGTATTGAAAAACGGAAAATCGATAAATACCGATTTACCGGTATATTGATCCAGCCCTAATCAACATGAAATGTCATAGGTGGATAGATCTTATTGAGGAGGAATGTTGTGCGCAAGAATGATAACTCTTCCCTATACAATTTTTGAATTATTGCCCTTTGCAGAGCTTATCTCAAAAAGTATTTGAGGTATCAACTTGAAACTTCAAAGGTGGATGGATCTCATTGAGGAGGAGTGCAATGCTTAAGAATGATAACTCTACCCTGCATTATTTTTGAGTAATTGCCCTTTGTTATTTTTCAAAATTATTTTTTGTCCAGAGCATAACTCAAAAAGCCTTTGAGATATCAAAATGAAACTTCATAGGTGCATAGATCTCACTAAAGAGGTGTGCACTGCACAAGAGTGATAACTCTACCTTTCATAATGTTTGAGTTATTGCCCTTTGTTAGTTTTCATACTTAATTTTTCAATTCAATTTTTTTCTCAAAAAGTATTTGAGGTATCAACTTGAAACTTCATAGGTGGATAGATTTTACTGAGGAGGGATGCAGCACACAAGAATGATAACCTACCCTGCATTATTTTTCAGTAATTGCCCTTTGTTATTTTCAGCCATGAGTATTCACATAGGTTTCAAATCTGTAATCACTATAGCCATCAGTTTTCATTACCAAAAGACCTCTTAAAATGGAATTATTCTGCTCTACTACATATACATTCTTCCAATGAGCAAACACATTCGGCGGGGGATGGCCATGTTGACATGGCTCTTGTTCTTATTTACCATGTCCAATGTGAAATGTGGAAACTGAGAGAGGCTATGGTTAACTAGATTCATGTTAGAATAATTTTACTTAAATTTTTAAGATCAAGGATAAAAATCCAGGGAAAAAAAACAACCTGAAACAAACATATAAGCATACACAGGCTATTGAACTTGAACAGTGCTAAAAGGTACCTGGGAAGAGAGCTGAACAATCAAAACTATTTCAGTTGAAACAAAATGTTCTATTTTATACTAAATGAAATACTTAATGTAACTTAAAAATATTAAAAAATTAATTGTTTTTACTTCTTCTTGGATATTGATACTACGCATACTAAACATTTACCGAGACTTGGACACTTGTGGTCAATTTTGGGACAACTCTATTTTGCTAGGTCAGTTGTCCTGGACAACTCTATTCCAAAAAAATTTGTAGAGCCCTGATACTGTAACTGAAAATAGTGACTGTGAGTGACTTAACATCTCATATTCAGCATACCAAGTCATGCAAAACCTTACATATTTTATATATGAAGTGATGTATATATTGACAAAGCAAGTTTAGATTCCAATCAGTTGTTTACATGATGTTTCTTTGTAACAATTTGTATGCTTACCTTTGTATGCTTACATTTTCATTCATTCCAGAATAATCATTGTCAGCTGGCATGTCACATGACCAGAAATTTCTTTATCAATTATTGTGAATGATGAAAATAAATATTGATGCCAGCATATCCCTCTTTAAATACCAGTAACCAGTTGCCCATTTTGCTATTCAGCTTGTTTTAAGAAATATCAATTGTTAAATTTTGATACTGGTTAGGTAAATACAAATACTGCAAATCAACCAATGGTAATCATTGTGTGAAAAAGAAAATTAATCATTATTGATATTTGTCTTTTACTTAGGTACACCCTGTGAAAATCAAACCTGCTCCAGTGAACACAAAACCAGTCAGTCATACGGCAGCAGTAACTTGTGCAAAGAAAGTGGTGAGTTGTAATGTGTACATACATGTGTTACTTGGGGGGATATTTTCCATCATCAACCAAACTTTCACTTATTTGAGCATGCTAAAATTCTTGGTTATGCATCGGTGCCTGTACTAAACAAAGCAGCGAAATGTGGATTTTTAGCTCACCTTAGGACAAAGTGCTCAGAGAGTTGATGTCTGTATGTCTGTCTTAAATAACATCTCCTAAACTACATGGTCGATTTTGACCAAACTTTATAGGAATCTTGTCAGAAAATATGTACAATTCATAGAGCTTAGATATATGACATGTAGCCTAACCGTTTTGGTTCTCCACAAATCATGATTCCCACCTGGGGGTTACTTGACTTACTTTATATATAATATAGACATGTATAGAAAAACACATTAATATTTCTTCTTGAAACTGTATTCCCTTGAGCTTAAATATTTGTCATGAAGCATTAAAGTAGCACACATCAACAAATATTTTGAAAATTATGATACTTTGGTAAAAATAAATGACAAACCCAATGTGACTTCATTGTTGAAATAGTGACCTTTTGTAGCAAGGGAGCTTGGTAATCTTGTTTTTACATTATTAACATCTAAACAGCTAGTATATATTGTAATATCACATTGGGCTAATTGAATTAAAAAGATCTACATTACTCTTGGTAGACATCTTTATGCCACCACAAACTGGGGGTTGTAGATTAGCACTTGTCTGTCTGGCCAAAGACAGTAAAAAATGTTACATGGGGGTTTCTATGACCTCATTTCAAGTTTCAATTAGTTTGGCCATTTACATATGTTTTGATTGACATTTAGTTAGATGTTGATATTGGAAATACATGTATGCTAAATCAAAATTTAATTGGAGCAACCTGTTTATTTTTGTTTTGAACTCTTCAATATTGCTCCACTTTCAAGAAATTATGTTATTTTTGTAACTTGTTTAGTTGTTACATATATAATAGGAGAAAGCCCCAATTTCAGAGAAAGCAGCTTCAACAAGAACATTGTGTAGTGCCAGACAGCCTGTAGCAGCACCTGAGCCAACATCACAAACCACAAGACAGTCAGTCAAAAATAAAGGTATGAAGTTTTGTAATGTATTCACATAAGAAGTACACTGTCAGATGGTTATAACATTAACCAGAGTATTTGACTTCCACATTTATAAAATCCTGTTTTTGGAATACTTACTACAGATTTGTTCAATTCATGTAATATCTGAAACAATGCTTGTTATTGTATTAGGCATGCACAGGAATGGTTCAGAAAAATATTTCTTATCAATGGGTATACAATGCAATAATTTACATAATTATCTCTATGAAGTAAAAGAATAAACAGTTATAAATCTTTTATATATTCTTATATCATTTTCAGTACATTATAACAAAATAATATTTGCAAATTTTGTTTCAGTTATTTACATGAATCAGAATAAGAAATAAATTTATTATTTCAAAATTAATGATGTTAATGATTGAAATCGTGTAACAAAACATTTACAATTGTATATGAACAGAAACATTGTTGGGGTAATACAATGAATTTCTACCTGTCAACAATCCAATCTTGTGATTAGCTTTATTTATACATGTATATTAGACTCCATTTGTATTTGGACCCCAACTTTAACATTAAAATGTGGTGCCAGCGTATTCAGTTATAATAATATATGGAGCAAAATTCAAATTAATTGATGATATGCACTTTGTTTGAGAACTTTGAAATTGAAAGAATTCTTTTTCAAAAATTTATTTCTATTTGATGTAGCATCTAATTTGTTCTGTAGTTACTTGAATTTGCATATTACATGAATGATCTGTAACTCAACAAGTTATTCCTTTAAATTTTGTTATGAAAGTGTAAATATTCTTATATTTGTGTACATTGTATATTGATAATAAGCTTATTATAAGTCCCCTACCGGTATAACCGGAGGGGACTTTAGGTTAACCCTCCGTCCGTCTGTCTGTCTGTCCGTCCGTCTGTCCGTCCGTCACAAAACTTGTCCGGACTTCTGCTCATAAACTACTGTTGCAATTTCATCCAAACTTTACAGGAATGATCAGTACCAAGTCTAGTTGTGCATATTGTCAGCATTTTCCGGTTCAGTGATTTTTGTCAGAGTTATGGCCCTTTAATAATTTTTAATTTTAAAGTTTGTCCGGACTACTTCTCTTATACCACTAATGCAATTTCAATGAAACTTTACAGGATTGATCTGTAGCTCAAGTCCTTGCGCATATTGCACAGGTTTTCCGGTTGAATGATTTTTGGCCGAGTTATGGCCCTTTGACAAAAAGGTGTTTTTTTCTGTGTGTTGCCAGATACACAAAAGCTTGTCCGGACTACTCCTCATAAACTACTGGTGCAATTTTATCCAAACTTTACAGGAATGATCAGTACCAAGTCTAGTTGTGCACTGTCCGTCTGTCTGTCACAAAATTTGTCCCAACATGAAATTGGCCATCATGAGGCGACACATGTGATTTCTGATCGCTCTCGTTTAATAATAATTTAGTAATAAATAGTTCTTAATTGCTTGAGAAAATTGATTTTTCCTTTATATCAGGGATCAGTCATTATTCATGGTCTAGAAGAGAGAGTGATAAAGAGCAAGGATGAAGTTTACGAGAGTTGGAGCGTGGAGCATCAAAAAGACAGACTGCTGCAACACTAATGAACGCTTCCTCATGGTATGAAGTAATTTCATAACTATTGTGTAGCTTGTAACTTAGTACCAGGCTTAAACGTAGGTCATTGAAAGTGACTTTCACTATATGTACATATAGTAAAAACTTAAAATACCTTCTTGTAAAGACCCAAAAAACCTAGAGCTTAGATATTTTGCATAAGGCATTGTCTGGTAAACCTCTACCAAGATTGTTCAAATTATAGCCCTGGGGTTAAAATCGGCCCGCCCCGGGGGTCATTGGTTTTCATTATGTTTATATTAAAGGGAAAGACAAGGTTAGAATAAAAACTTGATTTCAGAAAAAGAATACTATAAATAATAAGTCTGCAAATTTTCTGCCGCCAAATAATAATATTAAACGAATGATAACAAAATTTAAATCGCTAAATCACCGATTTCTACAAATCAGTAAGCGCGGCCATGTTTGTGTATTGGCCGTATAAAAACAGGTGCGCGTGATGTCATTTCCCCACATCTTTAGATTCATGATACATCTAGTTGAATCGTAAGGAAATATTAATATAATAAAGTATTGACCAGACGATTTAATTTTCACAGGAGGTGTAGAGGAGATTTTTTTATGGTTCAAAATACGTAACGATATCAAAAAAAAAAAAAAAAATAATAAATAAAGAAACGTACGGCTAGCCAAAAGTTCTAGCCGTACGTGAGTCCACGAACGACTAGCCAGCACGCACTGTACGTATTGTCTAGCCGTACGGCACTTTTCAAAATTATATGGAAGTCGAACGTTATAAAATTGTTGATTTTCATGCTTATCATTTGTTGTTTTATTTGTATGAATTATTAAATCATTTTTGTTGATTTTAAGCACATGGATCGAATAAAAAAATGATCGGAGTGGAATAAATAAATAAAAAGAACATTGAATGAAAAAAAAAAACGGTGAAATGCAAAAATAATTATATAATTTTCAAAATAGTAGATAAATATCGAACATAAAAGCACAGTCAATCAATTAATAAGCCTTAATTAAAACCTATCCAGGGACTGACAATAGAATTTTAGAATGCCTTTCACGGAACATGCAAACTTTCCTTGATGGACAAACTTCTATACAGTACCGTCGGTAATTGTCGCAATTATCAAGAGCCTAACAACAATCATTTTCAGTGTTTGTTGTTTTTTTCTCATATAAAAGGTGTCGAAAATTAAACTTAATGAAACAAAAAAGGATTATTATCAAAATTTTGTAAACTATTTCAATTGGTGTAAATGCAAGCAAAGGCAATTTTTTTCGACATCTTGCGATGACAAAGATCGATATATATAGCGATCAAGGCGATTAATCTCTAAAAAGTTAACATCCAAAGACAATTAATGCTGTTTCTTGGTTAAAATCCTCGCTTAAAGTCATAACATATGCATTTTCGACTTCCATAAAATTTTGAAAAGTGCCGTACGGCTAGCCAATACAGCGTGTCCTTAATTGCTAGTCGTACGTGACTCACGTACGGCTAAAACTTTTGGCTAGCCGTACGATAGCCACTTCCATTATAAAAACCCTACTAAAACGTGTTCTTAATAGTACATATAATTAATTTTTTGCAGTTTGATTCTGACTTTCAAATTTAAAGGTGTGAACATATGTTATAATTGATGTACACATTTCAAAAATATAAGCAACTATTTTGAAAAGTAAATTGTTAACATGTCTGTCAACGTATGATGCTGCGCATCGTAAATCGTAGTCTAATATTAACTGCAGGCAAATCATTTTTATTGGCTGCTCAAAAATCTAATTTGCATAATTTATTCACACAATTGCTGGTTCTTACTACTTATGTCTAATACTGCGCATTGTCCATTTTAATTGTTCCTAATTTGCACCAAATGTTCCTGTCACACTGTGTACTGACGATTTTTATTGCTCCTTGTATGCCTCTGTGCCGACAGACCTTTTGATCATGCACAATGTTGCCCTGATTGGTTAATCACCCTTGTCAAATATTCTAATGACGAAATAGACATCTATTTTTTTACGCTTCATCAGTGAACTGAATGACCTTAGGGGGAATTAGGTTCCACACCTGTCAAATTATACTGTAGTAAATTACAGCACGTCATAAAATAGCAACACTTTTTTTTCAGTTACCAATAATCATTTTAAATATTAAGTAGATTTATGATTTTTTTTGTTTTATTGGATTAAATTTACGGTAGTAGAAATGCGTATCTGTCGGGGAAAGGAATTTGGTAAGTAGATAACGTGGAAAAAAACTTTAGGGAACTGGATAAACCCGAGAATATGCGTAATTATAGGGGAATGGGCAACCTGTTGCTGTTTGGTACCAGTTTTTGACTGGGTGCCTAAATATAACCTAACGGACAGTTTTGTTTTCATACGATATTAGTCTGGCTGCCGATTTTCCTGCGCCTTTTCTCATTTTTAGCGTCAATGGCGGAAAATCGCGTCCTCAGCATACTGGATTTAGTTGATATTTTACCTGAAAAAAAGATACATGACCGGCGATGTACCCTATTTGGACAGCATGTCTAGCGAAAATTAAGTACAAAATAAAAGGATATATCGTCAATTTGAAGAAGTTTCTCATAGTACCCAAATTAAATTTATGGTTTAAACTTTGAAAATTAAGCAGTCATTGCTTAAATCATGTGGTGGGATCATCAGCAAGCTTGAATATCGGACAAATGATAATTAATGTCGCGGCGTCTTCAATTAATTAATTAAAGCAATTCAGTTCCATATGATGTTTTCATAAATAATATATAATGTACGCAATAAAATTAATAAGTTCTTCATCAAGATATATTTCAGTTGTACCAGCGTGTACACCTATACCGGAAGTGGGTATAACACGTCACAATCTCGGTCTCGTCTGTCTCGCGAGAATGACAGAACGCCAAAATGGCGGCGCCCATGAACTTATTTCTCAAGTAAAAAATAGTGTCTTAAAACACGAATTTCTCTCTTATAGGGTTGATGTCAATAGAAAAACTGTCATGGTTCCTCTTTTTAAATGATGAATATTTATATTAGACAGACATCAATCCATCCATTCCTATTCCTTTAAAAACTTTTAGTGAAAAAAAATCTTCTAGTAATTGACAAATGCTAGAGTTTAGATATTTTGCATAGTGAAGTGAACCTCTAGCAAGATTGTTCAAATTATAGCCCTGGGGTCAAAATTGCCCCTCCCCGGGGGTCATTGATTTTCAATATATACATATAATAAAATTTTAAAAAATCTTATTGTCTGAAGGTACAAGGCCTAGAGCTTTAATATTTGTTAAATGATATCTTCTATAGGTACTCTATCAAAGTTGTTCAAATTTTGCCTCTAGTGTTAAAATTAGCTCCGCCCTGGGGGCCATAGGTTTCCTTATATGTATATAGTTAAAACACAAAAAGTCATCTTCTCTAAATTTACAAAGGCTAGAGTTAAGATATTTTGCAATAACATTGTGTGGTGAACCTTTAGAAAGATTGTACAAATTATAGCCCTGGGATCAAAATTGGCCCCACCCCCAGGGGTCTTTGATTTTCACTATGTACATACGAGGGTTGTTCGGAAAGTTTTGAGACTGGGTCAATATTTAGCGTTGGAAAAGATCAAATCAAACAAGAGTTTACAATGTATTACTTTAATACCTCATCTATTATAGTGTAAAATTTCGTAACAGTAGCTAAATGTATACAAAAGCTACAAAGCATTAGGCACAGACACTAACGGTTACCCGGCGCACGCAACGACGTTATCAGACGTTGCCGTTATTTCCAGAGTTTAACGTCACCGTAGAAAAGTCAACTGCTACTCCTTTTCAAAGTATCTTCCTTCACAACGTACACATTTCTCATGCCTCGTAACCCACTTGGCGAATACATTTCTATACCAGTCAGATTTAAATGTTGCAATAATGCCCATAACTCTAGAGCGCAGTTCAACTAGGTCCTCAAACTGGATTCCTCGTAGTTCGGATTTGATGGCCAAAAATGACGGATGGGCGACCGCTCCTTTCCTTGTCTTTTGATGACTTTCTGCCATCCCGAAACTCTTTATGCCGTCTAAATACCAATGGTCGACTAACAGTACGTCCGTTGTTTGCCTGTTGTAGAAGTTGCTTAGTTTCTGTTGGCGTTTTCCCAAGATTAACGCAAAACTTAATAAAAACGCGCTGTTCCTCTTTTGACGGTGTTTCCATAGTCGTGTCTTGTCGCGCACGTATTGCTATAATGATCTGCGGTAACGGCTTAAACAACTTGCGGAATGACGTCCTTATGTTGGAAGTGACGTCATAAAATTTTCGTTGACGTTTGGCGCTATTTTAGGGGCTCTTTTTATTCAGTAAGAAAAACTGTCTTATAACAAGAAAATAGTCCGTGCGCCAGGATGCGTAGACAGGTGTTGCTATGGAAACGATTATATGCCGCATAGTAACGTTACAACGTTTTAAAGACATAACTCGGATAAATAACATATTAAGCTAAAATTTGTATTAAAATAATATTCGCAGCTGTAATTAGAAACAGAGAAAAATCATATTGTCTCAAAACTTTTCCGAACAACCCTCGTATAGTAAAAAAATATTAAAAAAACTTCTTGTCTGAAGGTACAAGGCTTCGAGCTTTGATAGTTGGTATATAATACAGCAGGTTTTTTTCTCTACTTTGGGAATGGTGCCGGTACCAGACTGATTGGGCCATCATTAAAAAAATGTTCGTTTGCAGTAACGCGACCGACTCAAAAAATTTGCCCTTAACCAAAAATTTTTTTATGGTCTTGATAAAAAATTATTTTTTTTGGAATCAGAAAATTATGCCTTGTGCTTTGTTTTCGTTCTTTTTATAGGGGATAATAGAAGAAATAAAATGTAGGTCTTATTAAATTAGAATTCAGTTATCAATTATTTTTACCAGATTATCAAAGGCTTATATATATTGTCCAGCATTTTAAAAAATTCCATGTTTATTTTGGAGTACAGTTCAATAAAAAAAAAATCGACCTACCTACCCACCTTGAAAATTCTGGGTCGGGGGTTTACCTGCAAACAAACATTTTTTTAAGGATTGGCCTTGGGAAAAAAAATGTGTTATTTTGACTAAAATTGGGAATTTTTTTAATGCAGTTTTTTTTCAGCTACAAATGAGATTAGACATCTGAATAAAGATAACTAACAGCGCTACTGTCAAAATAGAACTATTGAAGTGGTGATTTATA